TGTGAAAATGGGTCTTATTAATTCCTGGGGTCATATCTTTCATCGCAGCAGTCTTGCACATTGAAGGTGCTCTTACCTCTTATGGTTTGACTTCATGTTTGAGACACTGCAAAGTTTTTAATATCAGTTAAGGACCTGTCATAGCAGTTTATCTAAACAGTATTGTCTGTTTTTAAAATGTCATCACTGTTAGGGTTCCATCTTCCTGGCTGAGGCGTGGGTTGCATCGCTGTTATTGGAAAACGGAGGTTGCGGTTTTTGGGTACGGCTGTGTTCCTGTGGTCTTGTGGGTGGGTTACTCTCTCCTGGTTGTCGTGTTGTGATGGTATCTTTTCATTCTGCTGATTAGGGATTTTGCATTGCATGAATATTGTGGGTGTGTGTAGGGAGCGCTGTGAGGTCAGCCAGGAGACCTGCTGCGTCTTGGCCGTTGTCCGCCCCTTGCTGCTTGGCGTTCTGTGTGTCTTCTCTCAGGCCTGCTCCCAGGCTTGGACTTTTCTCCCTCCTAACTTTAATTTCAGTTGATATTTGCTTCCACATCTTCACACACATCTATACGGGTATGCTGATATGCCTGTGACTCACTACAGAAAATATCCACAGTACATGGACACAGGTACAACCACATAGTTGGATGTATTCACACAAAATTTGCTGCAGTTGTGGAGTCCTGGATCACAAAAAACCCAATTCTGGCAACTTTTTTTTTTTTTAATATACAGATCAGACTTATTCAAGCCACTGGCAGATTTAAATTTAAAATTGTTTTAATTGTACCAAGAGGTTGGTATCTGATTGAAAATGACACCGGCTTCTCATGAAAGAAAATAACAGTGTTCAAGGGACATCATTTTTGAAATATATAATTTTGTTAATTTATTTCCATTTTAAGTGAATTAGCTTATAATAAATTATTTATACAATATGGAGAGAGTCATCATTGGTGTCTGGGCAGTCAAATGCTTCTCATAATTGCTGACAAGCTTTCTGCTTGTATCCTTGGGTATTTTTCACCTTTATTTGACCATTCTTGCTTTTGCAATAAGCTCCAAGTCTTTGATGTTAAAAACCTCCTTGGGGCCTTGACATTCCTCTCAGGGTCTGTGCATGCGAGCCAACTGGACTTGCAGACAAGAACACTCCCGTATTGACATTATTTTTAGCCCAGCTGAGCAACCAGAATCCTCTCAGTTACAATTTTCGCTACAATGGCTTTAGGGCCTTTAATGTGTCTATTCAAAGCAGAGTGAAAGAAAAAAATAAAGCCATTTCTAACCAGAATATTAATGCAACTTTTTGCATCATTGCCTCTTAAAGACAAACTACCATGACATGGGAAATGGTGTAGATCCTTTTGGTATTTTGTTAAAAGCGGTCATTGTTGCTTTTTTTTTCTGCTTTTGAACTGACCTGCCACATTCTGTCAGCATGCGAAGCTAAAATGGTTCCAAAAAACGCCAGAAACCAGCAGAAAACCTGAGCTGACCCCAAGCAGTCAGGCACAGATTTCCAAAAGCTTTTGAAAAAGGAGAGCAGATTAGAAGGTGTAAATTAATTCTTATCGCTCTAATCTTTAACTCCCTAAACATTTTTTATCACTTACATGTCTGGATTCTGGTAAGGCCACACACACACAAAAAAAATATTATTTTGCCAATCAGTAAGGCAATGTGGTTAAGTTAAATCTGCCAGAGGTGTGAATTAACTCCAAACTCCAAATTCAGTCTCATCTTTTGTGTATATTTTAGACATGTCAGTCTGCTGAAAAATATGTTCATTTCTATGCACTCAATATTGGTTGGGACTTTCTTTTTTTTTTTTTTTTTGCATAAATTACTTCATCAGTACTTTATGCTTGGAGCCAGTGGCTCTGCTGAGGTATAGAGAAAGCTCAGGTTGCTTTGAAAGTGACGTTCATAAGATGTCTTGACAACACCACATGGATTCTTCATTGGGTTCAGGTCAGACGAGGTTGCTGGCCAATCAAGCACAATGACTGCATTATCATTACATCAGCTTTTGGTACATTTGGCAGTTTGGACAGGTGTCAACTCCTGCTTTAAAATGAAATCAGCCTCTCCATAAAGCTTGTCAGCTGAAAGAAGCAAGAAGTGCTCTGAAATGTTCTAATAGGTGACTGTTTTGACTCAGGACTTCAGAAAACGCAGTGGATCAGAAGCAGCAGGTGACATGACACCCAATATTAATCACTAATTGTAGAAACTTCCTTCTGGACTTTTAGCAAGGTGGATTGTGTGCCTCTCCACTTTTCCTCCAGACTCCGGGACCTCAATTTCCAAATAAGATGCAAATTTTATCTGAAACAAGGGACCACTGAGCAAAAGTCCAGTTTGCGTCAAGAGACGTTATGCACAGACCAATCTTACCCATAGGCTCGGAGCAACTTTGCCAAAATATGATATTTCTAGCTCATGTGTGGGATTTGTCTGTGCATAGTGGCTCCATGATATACTGACTCTTACTGCACTGTCACTGACAACACTTTTTACCTCCACTCAACTTTCTATGAATACGGTTCGGCATAGGTACTCTGTGAACAACCGGCTTCATAAGCAATGATGTTTTGTTGTGACTTATCCTCTTTGTTGAGGCTGTCAATGACTGTCATCTGGACAGTTGCCAAGTCAGCAGGCTTCCCCATTGTGGAGCGTGCTGACCCAGACTAGGAGACCATTCAAAGCGCATCTCAAGTTCAAAAGCTCGCCTTACTCGTTTCTTCTTAATTTCATGAGTACAGGTGTTTTTACATCTTCTTTTTATATTATGCTTTCATCAATACAGGAAGATGTTTTTAAAAGCCTCCTTAACACTGAAGGAGCCTTATTCATCTTTTCTATCCATAATTGCATGCATTGAAAGACCATTCATTTTTGTATAAAACTGAGCAATTTGGGTAATATGCAAGCTCATAGCAGGAGATTTAGAACCAGCTCTTAATCACAACATTCAACAAATGAATTCAAATTGGCTTGCCGGAGGATGCCATCTCTATATTACTGCTGCCAGGTTTGGCCTTTAAGCCGGAGCCTCCAGTCTGGGCGGCTCGCAGACAGCGCTGCCTGCAGAATATGCCTGCAGCCCCAGGAGAGCCTTATATCCTGCTGCGTCTGCTCTTCTTGCTCCTCACACACATCCATCGCAGCAGCTCAGCCTGTCAGACCTTGGGTCCCCTCCAGCAACACCTCAACCCCAACCCCCAGCTTCCCTCCTTCCCCTTGTTTCCCCCCATTGCCACCCCGCTCTGGTTCCCCCTCTCTTCCTTCGCTCCACTGGGCTAGTGAAGGTGAGCCTGTTCCCCAGTGGCACAACTGTACAGATTGCAATGCCTCCTCCATCCAATGGTGGCTGTTCTCTTGCAAATACATCTGTTTAACAAGTGGTTGTGTTGTTCCTCATCTTTCTCCTTTATTAATCTTTTGTTTGGCTATTTTTATCCGCTAGACCCAACTTACTTCTATATGTCCTTATTATTTAGTCTGCAGGCCTCTCCTAGGTCAGCTCTCCTTGACGTGACAAGCAGAGGAGCCTCAGGCTGCTCGATGTGTCACCTAACAGCAAGACTAATGAAAAATAAACTTCCCCTGAGGTTTAAGGCCAGTTTGGTGACAGCTGTCATCCTATTTCTTGTCCCTAAAAGCTCCTTTATGAGCAGGACACGAGCAGAGCAATGACAACAGTATTAGGGATGCTCCAGACAGCTTTTATATAGCTCTTTTTCTGAAGGTCATGCGTGTTTTCATTATGTCCATCTGCAGATTTGTGGTGAATGTTGCTTTTCAGAGCTAGTTTTGTATTTTTACTCCTCATCTTTCCAGGCTAGCTACATACCTTTACATTCTTTCCTGTGCAGAAAGAATAAGGTATTTTTTCCATCATGAATTGATATTATCGTAATTCTTGTTAAACAGACATTTGTACCACTTTCTGAGATTTTAATACCTAAATGGAGATGGATATTAAATGTATTAGGCTTCAAATAATTGGATTAGCTTCAGTTTTTTATTTTTTTAATCAGTTGATTTATAGTTCAGGTTAGAAGTTAACTTCCACTCATCGTGGCTATGAATGTCACATTTTTAAAAAAAACTATGTGGACCACTGACTTATTATAATTATGCAGGATCGAAATAATCGCTAGAAGTTCACACAATTGTTTAGGATCGAAGTAATCACTAAAACAATTGCTTGATAGATTGCTTATGTATCTCAGCAATATTTTAAAAGTCCTCCCGCATCTTTGAAGTACATATTGTTGTTGATGTGCCCATGTTCTGAAAGGTGAATGTTTGTTGGGATAAAGTCTGTAAAAGTTGCGGTTTCGGCTGCATAAAACCACATTTTATTATTCATTACTGAGGTTCTGGCAAATTCTGACTGGATATTTGAATATTCATCTTGGCAGAATTGGTAGAATTTATAAATTCATCCATTTCCTGGAACCAAGTTTTATGCTTAGTCCATTAATGTTCTTTATATTTGAGGTTGGAGGCAAAGATCCATTTGGCCTCAATGACAAAAAAAATATGTTTGGACCAGTCAAGGCGAAACTTTCAAACCTAAGAAAACTGTACTTAGTATGGTGCTGTGGAAATGTTTTGCTGCCTTTAATTCTGGTGTATTGCACAAAATGGATGGAATATTGAAGACCAAGACTAATATCTAATTCTTTAACTGTACCTAAAATCAGCAGTTTGGTGGTTGAAACCTAGCAACAACTGACTCTTTCAGCATGATAAAAATCCATCCACTTTACATGTGATCATTTGTATCAAATCCTATGCTCCTAGATAAACAAACACAAGCTAATTTATTTTTAATACTAACAGAGAAAGACAGACTGTGACAGCATTCAGTGTGACAGCCGTTTGAGTTGAATTCTCTGCACATCCACCTCTGTTCCCGTACTCTTGCAAACAGTGTTATCTGCCCGTGCTATTCCTGCAGGTAAATTCACTGCCTCTTTGTCTGTGTTTGTGCAGGTTTTTGGAGATTATTATCACTTCAGGCACCATGCCGTGGAGAAGAGGGCATTGTCAGGCCACACGGGAATGCACATCAGACTGCAAAAAGAACCACAGGTAAGACTGGTGTCAGCTCTCTCACAGCTCACCGCAGCTCTCCTTATTGGCAACAAAAAGCCGGAAGACAGATTGGATTACACAGTGAATGTGTATACATCACTAGAGAAAAGCATGCCAGCATCAGTGACAACTTGTCAACCCCTTTTTTTTTTTTTTTGTAGTGCACACTTGTCTTTCCATCTGTCCCACTGACACACTTCAGAACACTACATAACTGTAATTATGCTAAATAGGGACATTTTTAGGATTGCTCAAACTTCTTCATCTGCACATAACAAAAGAGGATCACTGTCAAAAAAAATTTTCTAGGGTGTGCTGTGGTGGCACAGGGTTTAAGGACAGCCCATATATGGAGGCCTCAGTCCTCGACGCGGATGTCCCAGGTTCGATTCCCGGCCTGGTGACCTTTTGCCGCATGTCTTCCCCGTCTCTCATTGCCCACTTTCCTGTCAGCTAACTGTTGGATAAAGGCCACCAGAGCTAATAGAAAAATAAAAAATTCTAAATCATAAATTCAATATATGCTTTGGTATTATTCTTTATGTAAAAACATGGTTAGAGTGAATGTTATACATCCAGAAAGCACAACAGTGCCCAGGGAAAGTGGGAAGTTATATTTTTCTTGTCCTGCCCACCAAGAGCCAGAAAATAAACCTATCAATGTTGTATATTTACTGCAGCAGCACAAGAGAAAGGCAGTCCCAGACAGTCACCAGCAGCATGTATTGATTTTATTTTTTTCTTCCAAAGAATATTACGTTTCAATTTCTATTTTTTTTTCTTTTTTATGTTGTTACTGTTTCATATGTCCTTTGAAAATAATAACCACAGCCTTTTACTATTCAAGTCCACACAAATGCCAACAGGTTAGATTTATGTGTTGTTGTTTTTTAAACAATAGTAGTAGAGTCCTTTTCTCTATTTAAACAGCAGGCTGACCAGGTACCTCAGTAACAAGGGTATTTGTTTTGAAGTGAAATTAGCTTAAATTGTATCCTGGACCCTGAACTTATCAAAGAGAAGTTGACCTAAGAAAATTAGACAGATCAAATCAGACTTGTCACTGGACTGTTTTAAGCATATTAACCTTATCAAACCTCTCAACAATCCATTACATTTCTCTAAGAAAACATTTTTTTTTTTTTTTTTTTTTTTAAAAAAAAAGTTTTCAAGCCATTGTAAATTCATTGTAGACAGCTGGTTGGCACGACAAACAATGAGGAAAAATGAGGGTCGAATCTTCATCCTATTGAATGTTTTTTTTCAGTTTTTACTGAGCTTTGTGCTTGTTCTAACTCAAAACAAGGCAGTTCACAGAAATCATATGTAAATAACGAAAACTGTTTAATAGCACTTAACATCAGTGTTGAGAACCAAGTAATTAAGATTCCTATTAGAAAAAATGTGCTTTTTAAATTGGCTACGTGGCCTTGCTATTAACATTCTTCAGTTTGAGTGCTAATTAGATTTTTAATGGGCTGCACAAGTGTAGATCTCTTTATAGGTGGGATAATAGTACTTGTGTGTTGTGAAGATCATGTAGATTGGAATCAACTAAACGCCCCCTGTTTCCGCTCCTTGTTTGAACCACATTAGACCCCCAGCTGTGCGTGTTCCCTTTTCTGAGTGAAGTCTGGAAATATATACATGTCAAAAAAAATTCAACTTTATTCAAGTGATCCAAGTTTAAAGTTTCTCTGCACAATGAAAGTATATCAATATTGGAACAAGTAGAACTTGGAGGATAGCATTTGACATTTTGGGTCTACACTTTTGTTGTATTAAATAAATTGCTGAGAATGCTTTTATAAGATACCAGATTGTTAGAAAGTTAAAGTGGTATGAATACTTTTACAAGGCATTTTATGAGAAAATGCTACATGAAATGCAAATGCAAAAATCTTGGCAACATATGATGATAAAGTTTGTATTGCAGTTTATTTTATTTTTGTCTTTTTTCTTTCACAAAAGTAACATGTTGCTGGTCAGGAGGTCAGCTTTTAAAACAAAACAATCAGTAAAACCACATACACTCTTGAATGGATGCACATATCCAGCAGCTAAGACGGAGCAAAAATACTTCAAAAAGCATTAGTTCAGATTTAAAAAAATAAAAAAATCAGTTTGGCAGTGAGGAGAAACACTCACAAACAGGACCTCATCAAAACTAAGCAACTGTAAAAATGTCACAGACACAGGAAGTTATTTAACCCCTGGGGTGAAACAATATTTGTTGCTGTAACAAAACCCAAACTTTCCCTGAATTTGGGACCCAGGTGAGAAAAGTCTGCTTTGAGGAAAAATAGAGGAGAACTGTAAAGAATGATATTGACTGCTTTTACCTGATGAATGGGGTGTATATTTTCAAACAAGTGTACAATGACAGTACAAATTATTCCATTAGCAAAGACTTTATAAAAAAATATATCTGAATATGAAGAAGAGCAGAAATTAAATATTTAATAATTAAAGGGTGGCATGTATTTTTCAGGCACATGGTGCCATTTTATAGCACAGTCAAGTAACTATGTTACCTTCAGCTGTGATAAAAATGCTGTACATCAAGCATAACTTAAAAGAAATTTGTCTTTGCAATTTGATGCCTTAAAATTGGGCTTCTGCCTCTTTAAGGAGCTCAAACTTCCTCCAACACTCTGCCTTCATCATGTCGTCACAACAATACTCCTCCTCATGCCATTTACAACCATTTTTAGAACTGGACTGAGGAGTAGTACAAATGAAGCACTCAGTAAATGCGTAGCTTCACCAGGTGTTTGCTAATTTTTGTTGAGTAGGGATGTGCAAGGGACGGGTGCTCTGTGAGGCAAGAAGCTCAACTGGAGACTGCATCTCCAACGAAGAGCTTTGTGCAGAGCAAGTATGTAGGCTGCCGTGGGAGATTCAAGGACATCATCAAACACACATAAAAGATTCAAAACAACACTCCTCGAGGTATGTTTTTGATGAGGGAATAACATTATAACATGATATAAAACTAAAAAAAAAAGTTCAGTGTTGCATAATACTGAGCCTTAAAAAAAAAAAAAAAAAAAAAAAAAAAAAGGAAAAAAGAAAAAAACCTTTCTGGGCCGATTTTTCCCCTGTTT